TGCTCTAGGACAATGTACAAAACCTAATTAGTTTGGGGTAAAAATCTGTTCATATTAATTCCCTAAGAAGCATAATAATTCATAATTTTTTGGTTCTAATCACATTTCAATTAAACTTGGAGACATAGATTTTCTGTTACATTGCGCAGACCTCATTAGTTTTACACTCAAATCTGGTCATATTAATTTTCTGATTTGCATAATTAGTTTTCAGCTAAGTAATTTCGAATTATATTTAATGTGTCTCCAATACTCTCAGCACATGGGAGTTCTTTCTAAGCTTTCTTTGATTTGGGTTGATAGAATCTTTTGTTATTAGTATCATCTCCCACCACCCCAATTGTAATTGTACAATGACTTCTCATCGCTCAAGGGCTGAACATCATACATTGTGCCTTACTGTGGCAAGTGGTTTTGTTTTGCAATTTAATTTAATTTCTATTTTAATATGCGAGATAAAATGAAGAGAACTGTAAAGTGCTGCTACTGGCTGCTTCTGACACATTTGCTTTTGACACAGGTCAAAAAACATCAGACTTCCTCCAATTCAATAATACTAGTGAGTTTACAGAATCACTTTCAGTGCATGATAACCTATTCCCTGAATAGGGTATTCAGTGTGCTGTGTTTATCCTAAACACAAGATTTTCAAGTATGACTTTGCAGAGGGATCACTATAAAAAGGTCAAACTTGACATTTTCAATCAGCTTACTCCTGTACTCCTGTAAGTTTCAAAAATTTAAAGGGAATACACTTATTGAGATTAACCTTTTGAATGCTTGTCAACTTCTTGCACCATTCACAAATTAAAAACGCATAAGTTTTTTTAGCTCCGCTGTTGACTTTGTCGAGCGGAGCTTATCATATGAGTGATTGTCTGTCGTCGTCCGTGTCAATGTTTTACTTTTTTGACTTCTTCTTGAAAACTACAAGCCTGAATGCTTTGATACTTGGTGTATATGTACCTTGGGTAGACCTCTCTTAGATTTGTTCATTTCATGATGATATCTTCAATTCTTCAATTCAATTTGGTAAAAAGTGATATTTTTGACTTCTTGTTCAAGTCCAATTGTTTTGATATTACATATATAGGTACTACATGTGGACCTCTCTCAGATTTGTTCATTTTGTAATGATATCTTTAATTCTCTAATTTTGGTAAATATTTTTGTCATTTTTGGTAAAAAATTATATTTTCGACTTCTTGTTAAAAACCATAAGTCAAATTACTTTTATATTACATATGTAGGTACTACATGTGGCCTCTTTCAGCTTTGTTAATTTCGTGGTGATATCTTCAATTGCCTAATTTTGGTGAAAAGTGATATTTTGAATTTTTTTTAAAAAAAACGCAAGTCAAATTACTTTTATATTACATATGTAGGTACTACATGTGGCCTCTTTCAGATTTGTTAATTTCGTGGTGATATCTTCAATTGCCTAATTTTGGTGAAAAGTGATATTTTGTGAATTTTGCTATCTCAGCCGACTGGCTGCTTGTTTAAAATTCTGATCAAAATAGGTGATTATGGGAAATTATGTTCATTTTGTCCAATATTAACAAAATGAATTTTAGCAAAATACACTAGAATTGCAAAATGTTACATCAGGAATTTGGAGAGAAAATAAAGGCGCTCAAAGCATTAGAATGCCACAGAATTTTGCTGATCGCAATGTTTGTACCAGTTGTTGTGATATGATGTCGATATAACTATGTCACGTTTGTCTAGTTCTGACCCTGAAATATGGATTCCCTGGTAAACATGTTGTAGCAACTGATTAACTAAAACATGGAATAATTGTAGTTGGCATAATACATAGGGTTATATTACCAGTACAAAGAATCCAGATATGATCTGTTATCTTCTATTTCAGGATGCTTTACCAATGATCAGCAAATTGGAATATGAGAAAAAATTTGATATGCCATTTAAACATGTATTTGGTAAAACTATGATATGTCGTAATATGGAAGTAGCAACACAGTTTGCAAGAACACAAAACTTGGATTGTGTCACCTTGGAAGGTATGTTTTATCTCTCCGCCAGTATATGTCAGAGACCTGTCTATTGACTTTATAGGTTTGTTTTGATGAACTGTTTGTTTTGTATGCTTGTATATTTATAGAGAATATGACAAAAAATTGTCATACATTTCCATGTTTTGAGGACTGTGTACATATATAAATTAGTGTCTAAAATAATAAATTAGGGTACTGTAATAGTGTAATCTAATCTAGTAGTCTAATTTGTGCTTTACTATGACAGAAATTGTAAATTTATTTTTGGATGTTGGGCATTGGTTCTTGGTAAGCAGTGATTTGGGGAATTCTAACAAAATTGTGTTTATCCATTTGTTACTATGACCCTTATAGGAGATCAAGTAAGCCGAAGAGGAGCATTAACTGGTGGCTATTACGACTCGCGAAAGTCTCGCGTGGAAATGCAGCGCAACATCATTGATTTGCGAGAGAAATCCGAGCAGCAGGAGAGTGCATATGAAGAACATCGAGAGAAACTACAGAAGGTGGAAGTTGAAATAACTTCTATGATGAGTGAAATGCAGAAGTTGGAAACAAGAAATAGAAAGAATAAGTAAGTACAATTCAAAACTATGCAAGATAGTGATTGGAAAATATTTCTGTATTTGCTTTAAGTGATTCATTTGTCTAACTAACATAAGAAATTTTTGGTTCTCAATCATTCAAAACGAATGTGTGCGACTTCTATTAGAGATGCGGCTTCTAATACAGAATTTTGCAATATGTATTTATGTTGACATCTGGATCATAGGTTTGATCTTGTTATCAAGGTCATCGATAGGAAACCTGGTGTAACATTTCTCTGTATGGATACTTTTGGTATTCTGACTAAGTACAACTCTCTATATATACATGTATAATTGCTTTTTGATTAATTGTAAATTTGCATTGTAATGACACTTCACCACCACGATGTTGTTTTGTTATCAGGGATATATATGAACAAATGCGTAGTGATCTACGAATCCAGAGAGAGGAAAGCCAAGTTATCCAACGTTCACTGCAACCTAAGGAACGTCGCTTAAACAGTTTGAAAAGCAGTCTTCAGGCCATGAAGAGTACTGCACAGTCTTTGGAAGAAGAGATGGGAACCGAGTTATTATCCCAGCTCAGTGTGCATGAACAGAAGGAAGTAGACGCTTTGAATGATGAAATCAAGGATTTAACACAACAAAATAAGGACACCCTCAATCAAAGGATCAGGGTGCGTTTTAGTTTCTTTATTCTATAATTGATTATAATTATTGAGAAAAGTTTACTGAAAACTTTTTTCCCAGATTATTATTGCAGACTGAATTTTGAAATTGAGTGTTACGCAGGAACGGATTTACATGAATATTTTAAATACATTTTTGATTCTGAAGTGCAAGCAGTGTGGTATTAATTTTGGTTTCTCTGTATTGGTATATGAACCTGTGTAGCTTGAGTAGAACTAGTATTGTATAATTGTATTTCATTCCATATTGGTTCACAGTACACTATTTGGTATATCAACCTCTCATGCCTGCTTTTATTTTCTCACTTTGTAGTTGGAAGGACAGAAGAACAAATTTGAGAATCTTCTTTCTAACAATCTGATGCGGAAAAGAGAAAGACTTCTTCAGGTGTGTACCTTTACGGAGGGGGCAGTCAGGAGGGGTCAATATTTTAAAATAAATCTGAGAAACTTTTTGGTGAAAATGTAGCTTTGGGCTTTCCTTACAGCTACTATGATAATATTTCCTGTATATTGGTCATGTGTTGGCAGATCTCTTGGCATAATGGCGATCATTTTTATTCCAGAAATTATTCAAAATCAAGACTCCCTGCTATTCTATGTATTCGTGTGTACATGTAGATGGATTTTGTTCCAACTTTGTACATACATTGAACATTGAACTTCATGAATGTCATTTTGTTTTTCAGATCGGATTCAAAATGACTAACAGGCAGCCGTATTTTTTTAATAAATGCTGTTTCAAATGTTTGCATGTACTTGTTGCAAAATCCAATTCAAGATGGCCAAATGGTGGTAATTTTAACGTTGAAAATGCATCAAAATCAAGCATTCCTATCATTCTGGACCTACATCTTAGTCATACATGGAATAAATTTATAAAACTTTGATAATGATTACAATTAAGCTACATTGTATATCATGTCATACTTTTTAACATGCATTTGTTATCAGTTCTGATTCATTTCAGTGTTGTTTAATATTGAACAACGGGAACACTGTCAAGTCATGATATGGCTTGTTGACTGATAGTGAAATCAAGAAAAAAAACAAGGAAAAAAAATAGTTATATTGTTACCGTAAAATCTGTATTAGAAGCCGCGTCCTAATAGAAGCCGTACCCATTCTTTTCGAACAGTTGAGAACTAAAAATTCACCATTTCTCATATGTGTAGATGCTCTAATAGAAGTCGCATACCCTCTGTTGCATTGTACCATTTTAATAGAAGCCGAGGCTTTTAATACAAATTTTACAGTAATTAATCTATACAGCACTACACTGTCTTTGTTTTTTAACATCTGGGCAGAGATCACACCCGGCAATGTGACTCATCATTCATGTGATGATTTGATTACAGGAACTGCATGACATCTCGGCAGAAGATAAACGACAGAAACTTGAAACCATGTCAATAGACTTACAAGGAGCCAGTCGAAACATTGAAGAGAATAAGAAAAGATTAGACGGTAGTTATGAATGCAATTTTGAATTTTATTTTAAAGAGCCCTCAATTTGAATGTCTTATTTGCATTAAGCCATCAACTCAGTTGTTTTGATTTTTTTCTTTGTATGTTTATTCTGGATCTAGGTATTTTTTCAAGTATTCATATTATTTCCATTTTTAGAATATTTGTAAATTACTGTATATGATTTCAATGTGTTCTGTAAGATATCAAAGTTCAATCCGAATCTTGGTAAAATTCTCGATACTATGAGCCCAAATAGAGAGAAAAAAAATGAAGGTGGTGGCAGTGGATTTTAAACACTGTAATGTAACAAGCATGCAACTAACACCAAATTGTAACCAAAACTCTGCCGAATCAGTTCTGTGTCAGTGGATTTGATGCATATGAAATAGTTACAGAGCTAGATCCACAAGAAACTTTTTGCGATTATTTATTGAAATAATAGTGATAGAAGTATAATTGTAAGTGTAAGTTTTCATGTTCAAGAAATCCAATATTGTAGATGAAATTAATGTAGGGGAATTAATATGTAAATCACAATGTGTGGGAAAATGAGCCGCTTGGTGGAAGTCTCTGTTCATTGCGTGGATTCTGGCATTAAACTTTAAACATGCATTTTTGGGGCAGAAATGGAAATGCAGGTGGAAGAATTGAATAAAGAGAAACAAGAATTACAGACTGAATTGGAAGAATGGAAGACAAATGAAAAAGGACAGTTAGAAAAGATACAAGATGATACAAAAGCGCTTGAAAAAATGACAAATAAGCAAAGTCTACTTTTAAAAAAGGTAAATTGGTCATGTGATTTCTTTTTATTTGCTGGATGTAGTATTGTGTGTGTTATTGTCTTGTGTACATGATTGTCTGCCTTGAACGTATACATTAAGATTAACACTTTTTGATTTTTAATATCCTTATAATTAACAGTTGATTTGAGCACTGGCATGACTATTTAGAACAGGCCTTATGCTTTGAAATTACGCTTACTTGCCCAATTTTTAAAATAGCAGCAAAACAGTCTTCTTTATCTACCGGTAGTCATGGTTGTATATAATAGAGAAATAAAGTACTTCACACATTGGTGAAAATATCTGTTTCGTTGAGGACTCTAACCAGATGCCATCCACATGGAGTGAGATTCACATACCTTTCATATGCCCTGATCCATGGTTTAAATTTTCAGTATTATTTGTCAATTATTAGTCCCCGTTCGGATGCAGTCTGAAAACTGGTAATTATGTTTTGACCTCTGTGTGTTTGTGCGCCCGTGCGTTCAGACCTGTATCTTAGAAATGCCTGGACCAATCACAATAAAACTTCACACATACATCATACATTACATTATACATATGCACATCATCTGATTCAAGATGGCTGAATGGCGGCCATTTTTGTGCTAAAAAATCATCAAAATCGGGCATTTCTCGGCCGTTTACAGATGGATTTTGTTCAAACTTGGTATATACATTGGACATTATAGGACCTTGATGCATGTCATTTTATTATTCAGATCGCATTCAAAATGGTTGACTGGCGTCCATTTTGTTTTAAAGAATGGGCTTCTAGAGCCATATCTCAGACATGCTTTGACTGATTATGTTCAAATTTTATATATTCATTATACATCATATTATAGATATATACATGTATTCAAAATGGCTGATTTTGTTATAATTAATGCTGTTCCAAAGCAATATGTATCTCTCAATGTGGACAAGTACTCGTTTGACGATACGTTAAAATGTCAATCATTTTAATGTTAAACAATCATCATAATCATATTCCTGACATGTTTGTGCTCCAGCTATATTACTATAAACAAAACTATATATCTTAAATTCGATAACTAACGAGGACTGTGCCATGCATGGCTTGTTTGATTTTGTTAATACAGTGAATATCACTAACAGCGAAATTGTAATTAGTGTTTACAGTTGATGACTTTTTCAGAGACAAGTTACTGTGATTACTGATCAGAAGTTTTTCTCCTTTCTCGAAAAATTAGTTTCTCATTTAATTAAAGCAGTTCACAGTACTCACTGTAGACTATTTTAAGAAAAATTTTCGGAGTCAGTGAAAATCATTAAATTTTGTTGAAGTGAAAATGTCTGCTTTCCTACTCAGGAGTGTCAGTGACTTGGAATTTCTGAAATTTTGACATCATGAATGTTATAAAATCATCAAATCACAGAAGTTTTGATAATTTATGCACTTTCATTTCAGAAAGAAGAATGTATGCGTAAGATTCGTGAGCTTGGATCACTGCCCAGTGATGCCTTTGAGAAATACAATACTTTGTCATTGAAAGCTCTTTTCAAGAAACTGGAACAGTGCAATGCAGAATTGAAAAAATACAGCCATGTAAACAAGAAAGCTCTGGATCAGTTTGTGAATTTTTCAGATCAGAAAGAGAAACTTATTAAACGTAAAGAAGAATTAGACAAGGGCCACATGGTAAGTTGAAAGTCGATGCAAACGTAAGGGCAATTGAAGAACAAAATTATATGTAAATTTCAGTCTCAATGTCAATAATACGTCAGAAATATGTTCTGATGCATTGCAGAAAAAATCTTGAGTATCAGTGGCTCGTTCAAAACAACTTTATATCTTGCAATATACTGTGGAATATTTTATTTTCGCTGGAATTAATTTTTGCTGAAAAGGCTTTTTGGGCGTTTTGTATGGAATTTATTTTCACTGATTTTTGATGAGTTTAATGTGAAATATTAGAAAAAAAGTATATTTGCTGGATTTTATTTTCACGGAAGCGAAAATAAAGTATTCTACAGTATACTTATAGGCATAAGTATATATTGCAAGATGAGTCAACAAATGTTTTCTTGTGTTATTCTACATTGCTGTAATGTTCAGTGCACATCTGACTAGCAATAACATACTATTAATAGCAACAGTCACTTACACTTCTCTTAGGAATCTTGTTTTTATGCCCACTGTAAGCAAATTTACAGAAATGTTTTGTTTTTATCTAAAAAAAAACATACTTTGAGTCAGTAATGTTTTTCTGAGTGTTAAAATTCACTGAGAAACCTGGTCACCTGACTGGGGAAACTTCATGGAAATAAGGCTTGAAGAGAACACTGTCTGAATGTCTGTAAATCAAATCTTGTATTGTTGATATTTTACAGGCCATTACTGAACTGATGCAAGTGTTGGAACACAGGAAATATGAAGCTATCCAGCTGACTTTTAAACAAGTGTCCAAATACTTTAGTGAAGTATTCCATAGATTAGTACCAGGTGGACATGCTACATTGGTAATGAAAAAAGGGGATATAGATCAGTCGTCACAGGAGGTATGTCTCTTTAGAATTCTGTATTTGCACCCTCAAGTACAAGCATAATTTTAAGGGAATGGAAAAAGTGGGCGGTGTGGGTTTGTGGGGTTTATATATGGACAGCTGCAGTACTGTTCAAGTGTTGCAGTGTATACCGTATATTAGTGCTGTAAAGTATTCGTTGTTACTGGGGTTTATTATCACTATTTTGGTATTTGATCACTTGGTTTTAAATTCACTGATTTTTCGAGTGACAGTGCGTTCTGTTGTAATTTTTCATGTTTACATAGATTCAGTATAGCTGATTTCACTCGGCCATGAAAATATTGAAATTAAATCCAAGTGAATAATTAAATTAAAACTCATTTACTGTACAGCTGTGGCATAAGCTTTGGCTTCTTCTTGGTACAACTTTGCTGCTATGTGGCATTGCCTTCACTTCAATATTAGCTTCATATTTATGTCTTTTTAGTCCACGTTCGAATGAAGATCAAAATGGGGACTTATAATTCGGTCTCCGTCCGTCCATTAGGAGTCCTATTTCAGAACCCCGTGGACCAAATCTGTTCATTCTTTGCATTTGCCCAGTACTTTATCTGGGACATATGCACATGCAGTAATTTACTGATTCAATCCAAGATGGCTGACTGGCAGCCATTTTGTCAGTTTTCATTCAAATTTGATACAAACACTACATGTTGAGATACATGTCCATTATGATATGTTTTGTGTATTTTTTGAGCCTGGACAAATGAAGTTCAGTTTGGATACAAAAAATGCATGAATAGCATATCCTGTTTAATTTCTGACCATATATTACGATTTTGGAAGTCATTTAATACATCTTATTTCTGTTGATACTAGACTAGCCAATTATTCGCTCTAAATTATTAACTATGCTTTTAGTCCATATCACTAATTTTAACTTGAATAACATTTTCTCTAATTCCAATGGGGACTATGTCATTAACCTTGTTGAATTTGGGGAATGATTAATAGTGAGTCCTAATCTAAAATTCAGCATGTCTTGTTTGTAACTGTTAAAATTATAGGCATGCAATCAATTTGCATTCACAAATGATGTGTAGCAATATTTCAAAAAGTATTCAAACTCAACTTTATCTAGTTTCCAAGAAATCCACACAGAATTAAACACTATATGAGTAATGACACTGATACCACATGCCAAAGCCTATGTGGCAGTGGTACTGTATAGTCAGTCGTATGATGTGAAACTACTCATTCAGTTGACTGAAGTTTATAAAATGAAAATACTAAATACATTAATTGAATGATTTCTTGTATAATTCTGCTAGATGGATAGCGAATCTAGTCAGGCTCCTGTTGGTACACCATTAGTGGAGCAGTTTACTGGTGTTGGAATCAAGGTATGTAACGATAAACCTTACATAATTTGGGGTCAAAAGAAAATAATAGTGTTACCTCAAATTCTTTATAACAACTAAATATACTCATTGAAACAAGTCATTTCTTGATGGCATTCTTTTTGAGATAAATCTGTTTGTTGTTTATTCAGGTATCGTTTACTGGTAAGGCTGGTGAAACCCGTGAAATGCAGCAGCTTTCTGGTGGTCAGAAGTCACTTGTAGCTTTGACTCTTATATTTGCAATTCAGAAATGTGATCCTGCTCCTTTCTATCTCTTTGATGAAATTGATTCAGCTTTAGATGCCCAACATAGGAAAGCTGTGGCAGGTAAGTGACCAAGGCTGATTTTCACTCAAGGCTGGCATATTATTACAACATTTTTATTAATTAACTCGTTACTGTATTTCACTTATACGGAATAGGTGTTTGTAAATTGCATAAATATTTTATTTTCATTTTCAGACATGATTCATGATTTAGCTGATGATGCACAGTTCATCACTACCACCTTTAGACCAGAACTGTTAGAATCTGCTGATAAATTTTATGGTGTTCGTTTTCGTAATAAGGTATGTATCATCTCATAGGTAACTTGCTCAGTGACACTATTATGTGCAGTGCAGTGTAATTTCATCATCTGAGCAAACACTTGTGTATTAAATTTGACTTGTTTGGACAAAATAATCTCTGGTTGTAGTTTCAATCAAACCTAGATGCTGTCAGCTGCATTTGTCATTTTTCCCTCCATGTTTTGTTGTGGAATTCCCCCATTGTGATTATTTTTTTCGTCATTACATATGTAGTTCAATTTTCATATAATTCATACTTACGAAAAAAAGAAATCAGAGTTCAAAATCAAAATTAATCATTTAATTTTTGTGGCCGGCACACACCTTTCCTGCATTACACGAGAACTGATAGTAAAGAGAAAATCAGATATTTAAATTGGGGATAAAATTCTGTGATTCATCTTGGAACTCGGGGATAACTCTCATGTATTTATTATGATTTAAAATTTGTTTATTTTTCCCCTACAGGTTAGTCATATAGATACTGTATCCAAAGAACAGGCTAAGGACTTCTTGGAAGATGACGAAACACATACATAATGTTTAGTATCACAAGTATCTGTAATTTTTCAGAAAATTGTTTAGTACTTAGATTTCCAATTATATAAAGATAGCAATTAGATTTGAAATTAGTCTTTGTCACCAACATGGACGTTGCCCTCCGTTTAGTTTTTAACCCTTGATTGTTTTCTGTTCAAGTCAATTAAATTTATAATGCATGTTTGTAACACTGCCTTAATTTCTTTAAAATTGTCTTCATCTATAATATTAATGCTGTATTTAATATTTTGAACAGTGTCTTTAATTTGGTACATTCAGTATTACGGTAATAGTTATCAAAATTGCCATTTCATTATTAAATCAATATTTTAAATAGTCAGTTATATGCGAAAAACTTTTTATATTAGAAATTTTTGATGTAAATGTGGCGTTATATTTTCATTCTATATTATATTAATATTCTATGTTTTGTATTATCTTACTCAACCCATGTTGTATGCTAGGGGTACCTACCTGTGTGTCATGTGAACTGAATATTGCTCCATATAATATATATACATGAGACATTGATCATAAGCATTGTATTTATTCTATTAAAAGAGCATCACCAATATCATCACAATAAAACCCAAATATGTTTGTAGTGGGTACATCAAACTCACTATGTTTCTAATAGAGAAAATACTACCTCTCCATCAGGCCATTGTTTCAAAATGTTTTTTTGTGACGATGTAAACAATCTTGATTCTTTATCATGCTTACAGATTTGAGATTCCATGCTGTTTTTTTCAGTAGAATATTTTCACAGCTCTGTATTGTTCCATTTTGACAGTTGTTGTTTAGCTTCGCTGCTTTCCTTGTATAACACTACAGGTGGTCCTCACAAGTGAATAAATCAAATCTACAGTACTTTTACCATGATGATAATGTATTACCGTCATGAATTCAGCTTTATAATCCGTGTAAATAAAGTTTTCCTTCAATGTTTATTGGCAATTATTTCTGTAGTTGGTGCAGGTATGGCCTTGGATGTAATCACTATTTTGATTCTGTGATGGTTGTTTTATGATTTGATTTAAAATTACCATAAAGGTTATATATTTTTATGTACTGTAAATGCATTAATTATTCACTGGGTTTTAATTTTGCTTTTTCGCTGATAAATTAAATCTACTAGAACATGTTTAAAATAACAATAAAACTTGTTATCTTGACAAATTTGTGAAATTAAAACAGTGAATATGTTTACCGTTAAACATCAAAAAAGTGAAATTAAATGTCAGTGAAAATAGCTTGTTTTACAGTATCTTAGTACACTCGGACATGCCTTGACTGATTTGTTCAAGCTAGTATTTAACATTGCTCAGGTGTGCCCACTGAATTTTATTAAAATGATGAAACTTCAGTTTTAATACTTGAGAAATAAGATTGCCTACTAATTTGGGTTGTTGTGAAAACATTAACATTGGGTGAATATCGTAGTTCAAAATTATTAATATTGAGCGAATTTCTTGTTAAAGTGCCTGTGAATTGCACTCATTTTTGTTTTCGGTTTTTTGTTGCCCTGAAATGGACATTTTTAAAAAAACAATATTCTTAGTATCCATGGACCCTTCCAGCTTCTCCACCGCCAAATGTCAGACAAAGGGGGTTGGCCATGCAAGTGCCATGCACTGAATACAGAAAAAACTTTTACAAGTGTGTGAATTACTAGTAAGCTGATGGAATAAATGTCTGTCACTTTTATTTCGCTTATGGAAAATTTAAAACTATTGGTTATCTGGCGACATTATACTGCACGCTTATGCACAATCGATATCCAAGAACGTGATCACTAACATACAATCGCTGCTTACTAAGTGGCATGCTGAAATTGATTACAAAAATAATACTCAGTAAATTTGGCCTAAATTTCTGTCTACCCATGAATGCTCGTTTCGTTGGATGGATACGACTTCCTAAGATAGTAGTTCTCCACACACTAAATGTAGCAAACATGGCTGAATCAAACTATGACTCGGCCCTTCCTTGGCTGAGTTGGGCTGTAGAGATTTGTCCAGTTTAAAATCCATCAACGCCAATTCAGGACATGGTGGGTCAATACTGAGTGGTCATTCCGAGTTGTGTATATACCTGCTGGACAACTAAAAGACAATATTATTATAGAAAGTTATCTTGTGTATAGCTAGCAATACCTCACAATGTTGTAATGAGAAGCAGCATTTTGGAAATTGTTTTATATTCCTCTGGTACGGTCTGGGTTAATTTATTTCACTGCATAAACTCGTTACTGGTAGCATGGTGGTTGTTGCTTCGGACTTGTGATAAGTAGACCAAAGTTCAAATCCTACTTTGGGTTGAACAGCAAAAAGGCTCGATCCCTACTGTGGGAGAGTGTCACAGACTCGATGGGAAGGGTAATTCCACTGGTCGAGACTCATTCAACGAACGCGACTTTGGGGGGGGGGGCCTTGGTTAAGGTCTGTTTGTAATTTGGCCAAGTTTGGTTGACGCCAGGATAGCGCATTGAATTGCCATTTGATAGGAAGATGGGTGCACAACCCTGTCATGTCCCAAACATGGAAATGGCTTCTGTGGTAAAAATGCACTACCCGGTATGTGTTGGCACTTCACTTGCAATTTGCACATGAAAAAAAAAAAAAAAGGCGAGAAAGACAACAGTAACAGTCAATGTCCAGAACTGTCACCTGGCACAAAAACATTTAAAAAAAAAATACATTGCATAAACCTGGCTGAATTTGACAGATGCAGCAAATGATAGATAACTAACTCAAAATGGCTTACTCTGCCTGAATGATGAGACATGGAACTAGCGATAGTGTGCTCTAATATGTCCTGGGGAGGGGTAACTTCAGAATATCTTAGCTGCCAAAACATTCTGACTTTATGCCTTGCATGATAGATGTGCCGACTACTTGGAGTGCAGCAGGTAAAGTTCATTTGGATCAGGCAAGTCTATCATGTTTTCCTTCATATAACTGGTATACGTATCTGGTAATCTAGGTGGTATCAGTTACATCGGAGACGCTTTTGCTGTTTGAATAACTGAATCCATAAGGAGTGATAACTGTCCTATAACATTGGAAACAGTACTGTACAGGTGTTGGAATAGTAATAATGACAATCTATGAACAACTTACTTTAATAATTAATAATTACCATATTAGAAAATTTGTATTCTAAATATGGGATGATTACACACGTAAGCATCCTATAATAATAAAAAACATGACTGCCACCAGGGTTTGACGGGACTCCACACAAAGAAGTTAGCTGATTCTGTCCTAAATTTTTTGAATTTCGCCATTGCCATGATGTATCATTGGGAGCAAAAGATGTATAATTATAAGGTTGTTACGAGGATACTGAAAAGTTTGCACTCAGTACGCCGTCACATCGACCTCCATTTCGTGTCGGTCGATACTCCCACTGTACTGTCTTCATGCATACTTTTCGGTATCGTCGTAATAACCTCATAGTATCACTACTGTGAATGATATCCACAGTGGTCATATGATAATGTGTCCCATGTCAAATCCATATTTATGTTCATGTTAGAAGTGGGTCTAGTCTAGTCACAATCAAGTTTCAGATACAGCTGTGAAAAATTGAAGTTCACACAAAATATAAAATTATTACAAATACTTTATTAGATAATCTTATATACAAAATATTAGAAACACACACTTTAAATGTACATTATAACTGGCAGTGATAGCTATTGTGGACAAGAAATTTTGACATGATTTAGTAAAGCTATTTTCACTCCATAGTTAAGAAACGTAATTCAGTATTACAAATTATGTCCATAAGTTAATTAGACAAAGGCACAGAATGAATGAGAAAATACTCTAGATATGTCGTGGTTCAAGTTTAAATAATATGACCACTCTGTACACTACATGTATTTATAAACTGTATTGTACTTTATATATAATAGTAGTAAATATTATATAACAAACACTAGATAGAACATGGACGTTAACGTTCTACAAATTGCTGTACTTGTATTCATACATTATCAACCAAAGTTAAGGCATTGCTGTAATGAATGTAATTATTTTTCAGAATGCAAGATAAAAATTCGATTAAAATTATAGCTACCGTAATCTTGGTATTCCATTTTTGTGTGTGGATATACTTGACGTTACTGCTAATATAACTGTGGTCATTTTTGTCTTAAGTTTATAAAACATGGATCTTTGGTTGCCATGTGCTCGATATGCACCAAAAAGCATTGACAATGCACAGTTCCAATTGTGTATTTAAATGCCAAAGTTCTTAACAAGCAGCGATCCAGGAGTGTGGGTGTTATTCTGACTGTATAGTGCTGTGATCAGTCATTGCTTGCAATGTATCGTAATGGGCTGATCATATTTGGTTGAATCACAAAAATGTAAATGGCCAACAATCAGCTATATTTGGTTGAATCTCAAAAAAATATATGACGTGCACCTGCAACCCAATATGCATGATCCTCATACAAAATTTGAATTACCTTCTTCATCTCCGAGAAATGGTTCTGGACTTGTTTAAGTATCAGAATTTAACAAACTTTAGGACAAAAATGGCCGCCAGTCAACCATTTTTGATCAAATGGTCAAAGAATGTTCGAGAAATGATTGGACGCACGGACGGCCAAAACGAAAATTAATAGTTCCCTATTTCGGACTTCGTCTAAAAAAATACCACAGCTGCATGTTCTTTTTAGTGTCTATGATATAACTGAACATCAAAAAGAATTGCAAACAAGTTTGGACAGATTATTATTGTTAGAAGTTGCGAACAGCTACAGCATATCACACCAACAACATTGTACTGTTGGTGGATGTAAAGATTTACAGTATAAAAAAATTAAATAATCCTTCACAACTGATATGCTTTAGTCTTATGACTACTACCTTTGCTAGAACCAGTGCTGCGGGATCTGGGATTTCGTTTTATTGTACCCATTCTATTACATATCAGTGGTTTTAAACGTTCAGTGAACCAATGATAGTTTCTTTCAAGTTCACGTTGGTACTCTTTCTGGTCTGGTCCAATTAGACTCTTGTTTTTATGCAATGCCTCCTCACACCTGAAAATAAGTCAGATCTGAATATTTACATATGTATGATTGGTGTGAATAAATATATGAGTAAACATGAATATTGCTTGAAGATTTAGAAACAATGTGAACATCATTCTCAAATTTCCAGTGAGATTTTAAATTTCCAAACAAGGAATTTTGACAATGATGTGTATCAAAATACCATTATGTTCAACATATGTACCAAGTTTGAACTGAATCTGTCCAAGCATGACTGATATCTGGTTCTGGAATGGTGAAAATGTGTGATACATTTTGATACATTTTTGACATTAAAATGGCTGCCATTCAGCCATTCTGAATTGAATCAGGAAACTGAATCTGAGCTGAATCTGTCCAAGCATGACTGATATCTGGTTCTGGAATGGTGAAAATGTGTGATACATTTTGATACATTTTCGACATTAAAATGGCTGCCATTCAGCCATTCTGAATTGAATCAAGAAACAAATGATGTGTACATGTCTGTTGTAACTGTAAAGTTTTAACTGTCCGAAGTATGTGTGAGATACGACTGGATATCGATGAATGCACACATGCATGAAGATCAATCCTAAAAAGAAAGTTAACATCTGACTTCCAATACTGAAATGGTACTAGATAATATCAATGCATGAAATAGTAGGAATGAACTTACTTGTTTGAAAATTCCTTGAAAGAAAGTCTTAATTTATTGTAGTGTTTATCCATTGTTTTAGTAGTTTCTGAACAGTCTGATAAGAACACTAAGGCCACTTCTAAAGGACCCTGTCAAAAAGCAATGATAGAAAATAACTTTCAAAAATTAATTTCAACATCCATGAGGAAGAGGCATGGGGAGAACTAATTTTGAAAA